GAGTACAGTAAGTAAGTGATCCCTGAGTATCGTGGGTTGTAACTCTAAGACAAAAATGGAAAAGAATAAAGATGTAGGGCTGGAAGATAGTGCACTTTATTAAGGTGCTTACCTCGTATGCATGCAAATGACCCTGATTCCATCCAGACACTGTATGTGGTCCCCTGAACACCTTCCTTCTCCCCCAATTAAAGATGTACCAGTTCAAATTAAGTTAACCAAGATCATAGAGTACATTCATTGACCACTCTGCCTTTTGGATGGCCTGAACTATGAATTGGATCTCCCAGCTGTGTGCTGGTAATGTTTTAATAGGCGAAACTGGGTGGGTGACCCTATACCTGACCTTCACATCAAATCTAGAAACAAAACGTTCACTCCTATTCATTGATGGCGAAACATTTCATCTTTATACTTGATTGATAATGGTGGAGGTAGATTGAGCCTCATTCTTGATCTACTATTAGGAAAAGTTGAACATCAGAGAGCATTTATTCTTTGGGGAAAACTAGGAGAGACAGGCATGGAGTCAGAGGGACAAGAAAAATGCTGAAATATTTTCCTTTAGGGCTTTTGATTTGCTTGCCAAAAAATTGCCTTCCAGATGGAGAAGACCAAAAGCTCTGATTGTAAGCCATTATGTTTTTACTGGCCTTTCTCCCCATCCCATTGCCTGGTTTGAAATCTGTAAGCCTTTCCAGACCCTGTGCCTCATTTTCTAGTACCAATTTACCATCTTACTCATCTTCCAGCTGCAAGGGGCGAGGCAAGTCTCCTTGAAGTTGAACCCGGTGCCATTTCCTAAAGCTGGCAATGGTAGATTCTTGCCAAGGATTATCATCGAGATAGCTTCTGCTTCTCTGAAGTTCTTGATAGTTCCCATTTCTCAGAAGTTCTTAAATAACACCTACTGGTTGGACTTGTACCTATGACATATGCAGTGGGATTAGTCTGGGAATGAATCTGAACAAGCTCTTTTGGCTTTGTGTGGACTTGTTACTACTCTGGTTGCCTAGCGTTCAGGGCTGTTGCATGGGAAGCACAATTCATGTTTTGTCTGTGTCTTTGCTAGTTGTAGAGATTTTGGCACTCCAGTTTCCCTTAGGGGAGGTAGCGATTAGAGGTTGAAGTTGTGACCTCGTGGGGGCAGGGAGATAGCTTAAAGGGCAGTGGCTGGAGCTCTTTGTTTGGATTTTGTGGGGGGCCACACCTGGCAGTACTCAGAGCTTACCCTGGCCTTTGCTCGAGGATCACTCCTTCAAGGAGCTCAGGGGACCAAGTAGGGTGCAGGGGGTTGAACCCAGGTCAACTGTTGGTATGGGAAGTCCCTTACCTGCTGTACTTTCTCTCTGACCCTCTCAGGCCTGGAGCTCTTGCTTTGCTTACAAGGGGATTGTTTCATTCCATCACCTCATGATCCCAAGGATCCCCTGAACACTGAGCCAGAAATACCGCTGGGCACTACTTGGTGTGGCCTAAACTCTGAAAGGAAAGAAAGTGTAACTTGGAAGATGGAGTGTAGATAGTGTTTTTGGAGTCTAACTCACCTAGTTCAGTGGTGGGTGCTGCCCCACATACAGAGTTCTCTTGACTAAACTAGTGTCTGCATATGGTAAATGAAAGCAATACTGGGGCTGGAGCAATAGCACAGCGGGTAGGGCGTTTGCCTTGCACGCGGCCGACCCAAGTTTGATTCCCAGCATCCCATATGGTCCCCCGAGCACCACCAGGAGTGATTCCTGAGTGCAAAGCCAGGAGTAACCCCTGAGTATCGCCGGGTGTGACCCAAAAAAGCAAAAAAAAAAAGCAATACCGTATTATGTTGTTCAGTTTAAAGAGAATTTGAGGTGACGTGGGAGAGAGCCCAGAGAGCTGGAGTGTGTGAAGCTTATAGCTTGCATGTGTGAAGCCCTGCATTCATTCCCTGGCACCTCTGAGTGTGTCGCTTGGAATGGCCCTGGAACACCAGAACATTGCTTGGAAACCCCCATCTCAAGAAAAAGAATTTGAGGGTGGGGTGGGGGAGGCAAGGGAAATATAAGTTAGTTTCTTTTCCTTCCAACCTTGACTAGTTTAACTATTTAGTAGGTTAATTATTGCAGCCTGTAAACTGACTGCTTTTCCACCATATAAAAAATTGTATGGTAGGCCAGAGAGATTGTATAAGTCGTTTGTCTTGCACGAGCCAACCCTAGTTTGATCCTTGAAACTGGATATGGCACCTCTTCACTACCAGTAGTCACTCCTGAAGCACAGAGCCAGGAATAACTTCTGAACACTGCCTGGTGTGGCCCAAACCCAACCCCCGACCCCCACCAAGTTATATGGACATTGGAATGACAAGAGTGATTTTGAGAAAGTAGTTTCTTTTCTTTAGTTTGCTTATTCTTTTGTGGTGCCAGGGAACCTGGTCTTGTTCATGCAAGCCTAGTACTTTATCACTGAGTTATATCCCAACCTAGAAGATTGAGGATGCGGATAGAGATAGGGGATATGCACCTAGAGGGGTTCAAACCCAGGACTCCTGCACGTGGAGTTTACACTCGAGCACTTTGAACTATATCCCTGACCCTGAATATTAATCTGAGCACCAAAGTAGGCCTCTAATGTGGCACATTTTAAGCGGAGCAAAATACTGACTTTTAAATACAGTTCCTATTTGCACAGTAGACTGTCATAGAAAAGACACATATTTATGATGGGAGGGAATAAAAAAATATTCTTCGAGTGGGGAGCTCTAGTAGAGGGGGTAGGGCTCCTGCCTTACAGGCCATGGGCTTTGGTTCAATCCTAGCACCACATGGTTCCATCGCTGAGTGAAGCCTTAGAGGCCCGAATAGTACTGATCCTTGTCCTGTCAAAAATCCAGCTCAGTTAACTGAGAATCCCTGACAGCGGCCCCAGGGTTCCCTAAATACCGCTTAGAGGTCCCTGCCATCACCACCAAAAAGAAATGATTCTTGTAAATAGCATAAATGCCTGAGGCTGACATTAACTGGATTGTTGTACAGGTGCAGAAAGAATTACTTGGATCACCAAAGGTGTGGTTTGGCTTGCTTGTGATGAAGTTGTCTGTTTGGAGAGGAGTTCTTTGAATTTTCACTCCGTTGTAGCTTTAACATGGTTAGACAAAGAAACCCTCAGAATTTCACAGCACAGATTTGAAAACCTTTAAGGCTAGTAAGAATTGGGGCTTGTATGTGCTAGTTGTAAAGAGGAGATTAATCAAGGGCTCTGCTGGACTCGGGAACAGATACTTAGGAAAGAGCATCAAAATATCCCAAATGGTTTTCAAGTCTGAAATGTTACAAAAGATCAGATCAGGGCTATCTCCTATGGCACGTGTAACTTCTTTTATGATAAAGTTTATTTCAGAGTTTGAGATTACATTATACTACTGTATGTGAGCTAGGTGGTTTTTTTCTTTCTAAAGTAGTTCACAAGTACTACTTTTGTTTTAATGGACCTATATTTCTACTATGTAAAATATCTAGCATTCCAGTTTATAATCATACAAATATTAAGTTGAGATTAAGTTTATTAAATTAAGTGCCTATCTTGGTTTTCGTTTTCAACAACAGAAACAAACCCAGGATCAAACTCAGGCCCTCATGCTAGACATGTGTTCTGCCTCACACTCCCCACCCAGTTTGTTGTTTCTGGGGGCTTTTTTGTTTGGGTTCTGCACCCAGTGATGCTTGGGGTTCCTTCTTAACAGTGCCCAGGGAACTGTGGTTCTGCATGCAAACCATGGTGAGGTTGGCTTTTTTTTTTCTAAAGAAACTGATTAAATAATTGTGTAGATGATGATGTGGATTTAGCAAAAACTGTAAAGTAGCATTAGAATGACCAAGGCTTGAGAAATACAGGGTAAATGAGGATTTGGTGGGCTTTTTTTTGTTTGTTTTTTCCTGATACCTGAGATCAAACTCAGGGCTTCACACATGCAAGGCTGGTCTTTTATTTATTTAAGGGGAGGGGGGGAGAGAAAGGGGAGATAGAGAGAAAAAAAAAACCCAACCTTGGCTGAGAAGAGTGAACTCAAAGGCTGGAGTCCTGTTTTTCATTCAGGAGCTCCAACCTCTCAGGTTTAGTCCTTGGCACTGTGTGATTCCCCCTGAGGCACCCCTGGGTGTAACCCCAAAACAAAAACAAAACAAAACACAACCTTTCTTCTCCAGGCTTACATACCTGTGATATTTCGTTCAAAATTAGGTATTAAACTTTTTTCCCTACCTGATCATTAAAATAGGCTTGTGTCGTGATTTGATATAGGAAGAGAGGCAATGGTTTCAAATGCTGGAGGGGAGCCAGGGAGACGGTTTAGAATGTTGGAGCACAGGCCTTGCAGGTGAGCACCTGGGTTTGGTCCCAGAATACCCGGAGCTAAGCTCCCTAAGCTCCACCTGGAGTGACCTGTGAGTTTCATGGGGTGTGAGCCCCAAAATGATGTGTGAAGACATTGAGCGGAGCAATTCATGTCCCTCCACATTTGGGACTTTTGAGGATGTGCTTTTCTGTCTGGGCTTGCTGACCCGTGTCTTACTTGCGATCGCCTTTGGGGATTGTTTTGGAATACTCCATTTCATCTCTCAGAAAGGAGCCATCATTCAGAGGACTGAGCCGACAAGGGGGGCTTCCTGTTGCCGTTGTCTGTCTGCTCTCTGGCTACAGTGCCCTGTGGCAGAGGGCAAGGGGGGCCCAAGATGCCGGCTGCTCTCTTCGAGTGCCGGGAGACCTTCACAGTGGGACTCGGTGCTTGCTCCCTCCCCCCCCACCCCCACCCCCCACCGCCAGGGCCTGTCCAGGCAGAGCAGGAAGGTCTGTCCTGCACGGAGGGGCCAAAGGCATCCCTCACACTCTGACAGCAATAAAGGCAGTTAGACAGGGAAAAAAGGAATGGGAAAACATATATGTTTTATCTGTGTTACATTTCTGTATTTTTAATTTTTGTTAAAAGACTGCTATGGGATTTAACATATTTTTCTCCATTCTTCTAGGTACTGGCTTTGGATTAGGACTTATTTTCTCACTTACCTTCTTTAAAAGTAAGTGTGACTTTTACTGCCTTTCAACATATACCCTAGTATATGTATGCACACAGCAGGGACACTTCTGGAAGGCACATCCACAGGCCTGCCAACCCCATTCATTTATGAGTTTTAGGTTGGCCGCTATAAAACCATCTAGACAAAGAATGTGAGTCTGAAAGAGGTCAGAAAGGGTTGGGCATTTCAGAATTTCCCCTGGGCATTGAGTCAGGGTGCCTGATACCTTAAATATGATATCATTTTAAAAGCTGTATTTAATACCAGTGAGTCATTTTACTAAATGTGCAAATATTTCTAATTAATTCTAATGTTTTTCTTAAACTTGAAAATAAAAATCCTGCTGGTAATAAAAACAAGTAGACCAGAATTACACATGCTTTTTGGCCTAAAATTCTCCTAAGATCAAGCCAGGCGATATCCCTTTCATTTTCTGGTTAAACTTCTGAAGTTTGAATATTGAGTAGGTGCCAAGTGGATTACTTTGACTTTTTTTCCGAGAAGAGCTGGTGGGGATTACGGCTGAGAATCTTAGTTAAAACAGAGTACTAGTATGAAATAATCATTTACTGTGTTGGCTTAAGTAACTATCGGGATGATGGTAAAAATTATAAATATTGGTGAAATTCTTACTGAAAAAAATTGTATGCCTTACTGAAAGTTTTTATTTATGATAAGGTTAATCATTAAAGTGAAAAAATGATTAAAGCTGCTACAGAAAAGTTAAGAGCCACTATGCCTGTGGTTTTTATATTATATTCATTAGCAATACTGGCAGCATAGGTATTTAAATATTGGGCTAAATGAATAAATTTACCAATAGATGCCTCCTCTTTTCTTTTTTGACTACTGATTAAACACTGACAAAAATGTCTGGCATAATCATGCTGAGTAATTACTGAATTATGAGCAAATGTATTTGACCAAAGAACAAATCTTTTTAATGAGTCTGTATTTAAATTTTCCTTTTTCTCTTCACTAGGAAGAATGTGGCCTCTAGCTTTCGGTTCTGGCATGGGATTGGGAATGGCCTACTCCAACTGTCAGCACGATTTCCAGTCTCCATATCTTGTACATGGAAAATATGTCAAAGTAGGTACAGAATTGCTATTTCGTTTTGAAAAGAATCAGCATCTTCTTGCCCGTTCCTGAAAAATCCTTCAGAGTGCATGCATGTCAGTATCACTGTGGCCCTACTGAGCTGCTTTGGTTCGGTTTCGGGTCATACCCTGCAGTGCTCAGGGCTTACTCCTGGCGTCAGGCTAAGGGATCATTTCTGGTGGGGCTCAGGGACCAGATGGAGTGCTGGGGATTGAAGGCAATGACTGCTTTCTCTTCGGCCCCACCCGCTGAGATTTCCAATTGTTCTTTGTTCAGTAGTGATGTGCACACTACTTTGGTCCCCTGACCTATATGTCAGGTGCAGGTACACATTCAGATCCATCCTCATATGCCAGTAAACTGGAATTGATGAACTTGCCCTAACATTTAGCATCCTGGGACCAGAGGGATAGCTTAGTGGTCTGGGCAGAGGCTCTGTATGACATCACATGATCCACTGTCAGGTATGGCATAAAACAAACAAAACAAAATAAATTATCATCATGGTAAAATCATTGGTTTTAAATATCTGTCAGTAACAGTTTTTATGTAAGATGACGGAGTGCCTTGTAAACGTACCACTCAAGCTAAAACCTAAAGGCTGCTAGGATTCATCCATTATTGTGATTTCCATTGAAGAGGGCAAGTTTTTGTCTATTAGTCAAATGCTGAAGACCTTTTCTACTGAAGCATTTTTTTAATAATAGACAAGATAAAAATATCTAACACGTGCTTTTAAAAAGAGAAGATGTGGGTCTGGGGTGATGGTACAGTGGGTAGGGTATTTTCCTTGAATGACCCAGGTTTGATCCTCGGCACTCCATATGGACCCCCAAGCCCCACAGGGAGTAGGCCCTGAACGTTGCCAGATGTGGCCCAAATAAACAAACAAAGGGATGGGGGAAGAAGGTAGCATGTCCCAAAAAAGTGTTTATATGTAGCGGCCCTACCGGTTGTCTTTCTGTTAGATGATTGGCTATGATGGGGTTTAAGTGAAAGGACTCTGGAAGACTGAGTGCTCCTGTAAGAAAGAGGTGACACTTCTCTTTTCCCTGGGCCTGGAACAAGGTCAATCAATACCCATGGACATGTGAAATGAGTGAAGGAGGTGAATCGTGTATCTGATTCGATGAGGTAATGGCCTCCAGCTTCCCAAGGCAGCCTGTACGGCAGTATAGCCTTTAGCAAAGAACCTCACACTGCCTGGGTACAGGGTCATCTACTGCCTTGGTTCCCATGAGCTGCTTCCTGTACCGTGCACAGAAGCAGGGGGTGAGTGGAAAGAGCAGAGAAGCCAGAGGACCTGGGGCAGGTCCATCACTTGCTTTGTCTGTGATTTTGAGTTTTTTACTTCGTAACCCTTCAGCGTTGTTGAGAGGAGTAAAGGTGAAATTATTTTTAAGCTATTTGGTGATTTACATAGAAATATTGGTTATTACAGTTATATTTAACCAAGATAGGGAGCTTGACCTCACCATTGTTCTACTGTAACAAGTAGAGAAGGGAAAATGGCACACTGAGTTTCCTAATTCTAGTCTAAAGCTGAGGCCACAGGGTCACTAAATCTCTAGGCACAGAACCCTGCCACTGCCCAGTCGCTGTCTTAAAAACTGCTGCCACCGTCGACTGCCTGTGGACCTCTTGTGTGTTTGGAAACGCTAGGGAGTGAGTGAGGAGAGCCGGGCAGCTTGGAAGCAAGAAAGCAAGGCCGACTCTCCTCGCCCTTCCCAGTCGTAAGCCAGTGCCAGGCTGAGATCATCAGGACAGTGCGAGAAGAGGCACAGCTGCATGGCCCCGAAGCTGAGCACAGTTGCTCCACGACTCTACACATTTGGCACCAATCTGAATCTGGGATGGGGGGGAGCAGAAAGGAACAGAGAAAGGAGTTGCAGGTCTTTGAATCCTTTGAAATGTTTTCATTGTTCCACACTGAGTTGTCATGGATAATAGCTCAGGGGTGATTATACATACATATTATGTATTTAAATGGCTGGGAGTTACTGTGGAAAATATTGTAACATTTTTTACAGTCATATGTGTATTGCTCAAAAAAGGCCTTGTAACTTTATCTAAACTTGAATCTGTGCCTCGGATTTGTCATCTTCCCTTCTGTAAGAGGAGCAAAATCCCGGCTTTTTCACTGTGTCACATTATTGTAATTGCGTATTGAATGTTTGCTCTACCCCGTGGACTCTCCTGTGTGCTTTCTCATAAACGCCCAAACGATTTGTGAGTGATTTTTTTCCCTTTCTCCCTCCCTTCCTCCTTTCCTTCCTCCTCTCTCTTTTCCTCCCTCCCTCCCCCCGCATGTGAGACATGCATTCAATGAAGTTTGCATGTATGTAATTGTTTCCTTCCCCCCCCCCCCCCAAATGCTGGGGATCAAATTAGGGCCTCCTACAAGCTTAAGCATGCACTTTGCCTACTGATCTGCCTCCAGGGCTGAGGGAAGTGCAGTTATCACTCCACAAATGGGAAACTGAATCCTCAGGAGGGTGACTTGTCTGAGATCCCATCAGTAGGAGGTTGCTTGGTTCTAGTACCATTCTCTTCACTTACCTTTGATGGATTTTAGGGCTATTACCAAGCTCTATTCCAGTCCTTTCTAATTTTTCTTACTCTAAGATTTGCGAGGGACACTGATAGATCCTAGAGAGGGCACATGCAGTACTCTCGGGTGAGTTGTAAAGCAGATAGTGTGGCCCAGTTTGGGCCCAGGATAGTGGCCTGCAGCAGGAAGGTAAGCGTTGTCGGTGTCAGAGCATCCTGCACACCTCTAACTTGTGTTTCCTTGTTTTACAGGAGCAGGAGCAGTGACTGCAGCCGAGAACATCCCAGCAGGAGGAAAGTGAGATCCTGTTTACTCCTCAGGAATATTGAAGTGCCCTGGAGTAAGCTGACATTCTTCTGGAACAATGTTATCGGTGATGCTTTAAACTCCGGCACACTGTTTATGTATTTGAAACCGAGTCTGTTTCTTGTTTTGTATTTTCTCTCTGGAAATGGCAAGGAGGTGGTCTTAAAAAAAATAAATTAAAAATAGGCAGCCTTGCCTGTGTTTCTTTGTCTTAGTGTCTGAGCGTGAGGCAGACCTATGTCAGCAGTAACCCCAAGGCCCCATGAACGTCCTGACAACACTATGTACATTCCTTCCCTCAACTCAGCCTCCAACTGACATGTCGTTCTCCGAACCGCTTCCACCTGCTCCGTTGTTGTCTGATGCAGGCAGGTGAGTGCCTTGAGTCTTGCCTTGCTGCCTGCTGATCTCCGGGAGGTTGGCAGGCAGTGAGGCTGCGCACACAGTGTACAGAGCCGGGCTGAGGGCTCGCTCAGTCTCTCCCTTTCTCGGAGCCTGACTCAGACCAGGAGTCCGCACCGGCTTTTTCTCCTACAGTTAGAGCTTGTGACATTCGGACACGACTAGAAGGCCATGTTTAGCATTAATTTTACCTTTGACACCCTGAAAAATATTTAAGTACAAAAGGATACTTTAAATGCTTATCTGTGAATTCATTCCTTTGGTTTCATTTGAACCAGGAAGGCTTGAGACAGAACTATTGAAAGCAAAACAAAAAAACACTGGCAATGTCTTCTAAAAAGAGACTAGTCTCTTGTATCTTACGTTTTGTATAATGCAGTTGTTCTGGTAAAGCTGAATCCTGCTCACCCTTTATCCTGTAAGTGCTGATTGAGATCTCCTGTGAGTGCCTCTGAGGGATTTAGAGCCTGATGGAGAGACATCCTTGCAGACTCGAGCACTTGCAGAGGTGAGAATCGAGGAGGTGCACCGGAGCCTCCTGAGGATGCGCTGGCAGAAAGGAACTGCATGCACTGACACAGCCTTGCCATGGGCATTCCTGGCACAGCGATACAACAAGGAAGGTCACTCACACAAGGACTTAGACTCTTAACTGGGCAGCAACAACTAGGCCATAGTTGGCAGAGGCCAGGGAGAAGGCTGGGTGGATGAGGCTGGGCACCAGTGTGGGACTAGTGTCTGGTACCAATTTTGAAGCACCAATTAGACCTTGATTCTTGCCAGTCTTATGAGAAGATTCAAGGTAGTAAATGCCTCTCCTCTTCCCTCCCTGGTTCTTTGCCTCACTGCCATTTCTGAAGAGGTGTAGTAACTTCTATACAGTGGCCTCCGCCCTGAAAACGGTCCTGACTTCTCTGCTCTCAGAACATTTTTGTTTGGATCAGTTGAAGCCCAAAGATGGGCTTGAACCTAGGACTGCAAGCAGAGCTTGCCATTACCATTCTGCAATCTTGCCCTGTTTATTCCGTGATTAAGACAACCCATGCGACTAAGAAAGAATTTGGACTCTGGTCTATCCCTTACACCTGTCATAATATTTGCTTTATTTTTCATTTGTTCTTGTCTTGTTTTAGTTGAACCCAGGACTTCATTCATGCAAGGCAAGTGCTCTGCTGCTGAACCACTTTCCAGTACCCATATTTGCTTTAAAATATTTATCAGGGGCCAAAGGAAAAAAATCAGCAGTTGAGGCACGTGCCTTCCACATGGTTGACTCAGTTTGTGGATTTTTTTTGGGGGGGGTCACACCCGGCGGCACTCAGTAATTACTCCTGGCGGTGCTTGGGGGACCATACGGAATGCTGGGGATTGAACCCAGGTTGGCCAGGTGCAAGACAAACGCCCTACCTCCAGCCCCAGTTGACTCTGATCCCTGGCATAGGATATGGTCTTCCAGCACCATCGGAAGTGATCCTGAGCAGAACAGAAGGAATCCCTGAGCATTGCTGGGTGTGGCCCCCAAATGAACCCTTCTCCCCAGAAAAAAGTTTATATTTCCATGCACCATCAAAGGAAGCATTGGCTGTTTGCTTCAATTCTAGAATACTTTGTGTTCTCTCTTTGTACCACTGCACAATGCATGATCTTGTCCCCACTCCCTACACCCAGCTCAAATCACCCTTCAGAAAGTTGCAGTTTTTGGCAATGGCACACAGTATGTTTAACTTTAAATTTCATTAGAAATTCGGGTCCTTCGGGGCCTTGCTCCCTTGTGGGGATGGGAAACTTTGATTTTGCTTCTTGTCTACCTTCTGGAACCAAGTGCAAGGAAATTCATGGGTTTGAGGAGAGAGTAATGAGAACCCAACAGGGCACAGGATACAGGATAATGCTGTGGCGCCCGAAAAGAGGCCTCTTCTGCCAACATATATAAATGCATGCAGTCCAAGCTTGACACTGTGTAATTTGGCCCAGATCAATATGTATTTTGAATTCATTTAGGTGAATGACTTTGGCATTCCGAGTGCCCAGCAGGGGAGACTTTTATCAGGCTGCATTTGGCTTCTGCAGAAATTTGCCTTTGTCCTGAGAACTGGCCTGAGTGCACGTGTTCCTGAGCTGTCTCCTCTAGTGCGTGTCATCTGCTCTCATCACTGGAAAGAGCCAAAGGTTCAGTCCTGGCATCCTACTGGGAGAGGAATAGCAAAGATTGGCAGTGAAGGCGAGAGAACTATGTAGTTTTGTTTCTGGTTTTCCTAAACCTCACTTTTTTTTTTTTTCTTATGTAACCAAGCCATAATTACATTTTACTTATCATGGTTCAATCTGATTGCATTGTTGAAGGACTGTTTTTGAACCTGTCCAAATAAACTCTGCAAAGTATTTCCACAAGGATGTGCTCCTTGGGACTGGAACCAGCCTTCTTGCTGGATGGTATTGAGACACAAATGGTTTCCTGTTGCATGCTTCCTAATTGCATAAATGCAGAGGGGTGAAAGGGAGAAAGTGGAAACTCTAAGTACCAAAAGGAATGTTAAATTTAGAATAACAGGCTCATCTGGAAGTTATCACCACTTTCTTCTCAAGTCTACTGCAAGCACCACGTCCCCTCAGACACCAGAGGGTGGTGATAGGGGTAACAGAGCTGGGCAGGAGCAGGGTGGACGTCCCCAAGGTCACTCACTAGGCAGCCTCTGCCGCCAACAAGCATGAGAGCCTGGGGGAACTTGATGGTGGAGCACCTTGACGAAGGAGGGTGGCTAAGGAACAAGGGAGAGGCATTGCTATACAGCAGTGGGAAGAACCTCTGAGTTGGAATCGAAGGACTTGGCTCCTAGTTCCTTTGCCTTTACTTGCTGGATTAGGTAGGATGTGATCTTAACCTCCTTACCCTCAATATCTTCATCTGTAAAGGAAGAAATATTTGGAAATTCTTGCCTTATAGGCTTTGAGGGTTAAATATATGTGCTAAAGGGGGACATTGGGGTCAGAGAGATCTTACAACAGATAAGGCACTTGCCTAGCCTGCGGCTGGTTGAATCCCAGCACCACCTATCATTCCCCAGTTATGCCTCCTGAGCACCGCCAAATTGGCCCCGACGCCTAATAAAAAGGCAATGTTGCTATTTGAATCAAGTAGGGTGCATGGCTGTTACTGGTACGTGAGACTATTCCAAAAAAGAAAGCACATAATCCTTGGATTCCAGGAGTCTAGATTCGCAAGGTCTGAAGGCAAGAAGACTTGTCTCAAGTAACTTCAAGGTTAAAAAAAAAAAAGTAAAATTGTCCAAAAACAGTATCTTCATGAGTAAGTATTAATGCCATTGGTTCTCACTCTGCTACTTTGAAGTACACACAAGTAAAGCCAGGGTGGCTTCTCCCCTTTTGAAACTCTAACCGAGCTTTTAAAAAACCAGTTGCTGGACACAGACTCATGCTAGATCACAAAGGGAATGGGGAAGAATTCACTGATCATGAACCGGGGGCCCAAGAGCTAAAGCAGCTCTTCAGGAGACAGAAGTGACTGCAATTTGCATCCAGGGCAAACGGACTTTAGTTGTGTGATTCTTGAGTAGGGTGTTTGGAATCAGATGTAAGTGGGGGAAGGTGACGTTAAGAATTCCTGGAAGGGGGGCTGGAGCGATAGCACAGCGGGTAGGGCAAACGCCTTGCACGCGGCCGACCCAGGTTCGATTCCCAGCATCCCATATGGTCCCCTGAGCACCGCCAGGAGTAACCCTTGTGCATCGCCGGGTGTGACCCAAAAAGAAAAAAAAAAAAAACTGGAGGAATTCAAGAATGGGTAGTAGATGTCCCTTTACTAGGGAAGGGACAGCCAAGAAAAGCTCATTCTCAACTGTCAGTCAGCATCTTTCTTTGCGGGTTTAGCCAGTTTGCACCAGGCCAAACTTAATTTAATCATTTCAGATAATTATATTATTTATTAGGCTCACACTCTGTGCCAGTTACTATTCTGAGTCTTCAAGTACATTGTGCTTAATGTTTATAACCATCCTATGAATTACTATTCTTGTTTAGAGATGAAGAGGCATTTTTTTGTTTGTCTTAGTGTTTCTTTTTTTTCTTTTTGGGTCACACCTGGTGATGCTCAGGTTCTGCACTCAGGAATTACTCCTAGTAGTGCTTGGGGAACCATATGGGATGCTGGGGATCGAGTCCTGCATGCAAGGCAAATGCCCTACTTGTTGTACTATCTCTCCAGCCCCAATTTGCATTTAATTTTTTGTTGAACAGACATTTTGAAAGGATAAATGAACTTTCCTCAGGATTTTTCACTTTTTCACAGGTGCTACACAGGAATTTTACCTACTTCTAGAACTCTGATCTAGCCACTGTGCTAGGCCAGCTGAAAGCTCTTTTTAAGCTGGGAAGGATTTGATACACTTCAAACCTCATTCCACATATTTGAACTAGTTGAATAAACTTTTATTGAATTTAATTAAAAAAAAAAAAAAGATGGGAGCTGGTGAGATAGTACAGTGGGCAGTGCCCTGCCTTGCATGCTGCCAATCCAGGTCTAATTTCAGATATATAGGGCCCCCTGAGCACCGCTGAGTAGAGTCCAAAATCAAAGCAAGACAATTTGAAATTGCTTAAAAATGATTTTCAGGGGCCGGAGTGATAGCACAGCGGGTAGGGCGTTTGCCTTGCACATGGCCAACAGAGCCAGGAATAACCCCTGAGCACCGCTGGGTTAGCCATAAAATGTCAGATTTATTTTGATCATGAGTTTTCCCTTAAACCTTTGAAAATAAGGGATCATGACA